ACACATGTCAAATTAAAATCCTAAAACCTTGTACAATTATTTCACCATAATCCTGTTCCAGTCCTGTCTACATACAAACACATTAATGAACTGTATTAATTGGATTCTTCTTCCAACTAACATTCTATTTGACATTGCTTCAGGAGAAGTTTAAAACAACAGGATTATGGAGGGATGTACTGTGCTATATTGACAGTCAAGTGAGACCATCTTTCAATTTTTTAACACATTTCCTTGATTCTCATCTTATGTGGGCACAGTTGTGATTCTTCTCTAAATGTGCAGCTCAACGGTTGTATCTGCTGGGATTTTTCGCATATTTGGCCAGGAAGTAGCCGAACTTCCTTTAGTAGCAACGAGTAGTGAATGTCAAGGATTGGTGAGTATCAAATGTTCTCCTCCTGCTTTTGTGGAGAATACTCTTCTTATTTATGTGAAATGTCGTGTAGGGCTATTTCCAAGCGCTGTTTTCTTGCATCGAAGAACTGCTAGCTTCTCTGAACGTGAAAGTTCTTGCGCTTCCTGCCGCTGATGAAGCTGAATCCATATGGACCAAGAAGTTTGGTTTTGAAAAGATGCCTGATGTTGAGGTTTGCACTTTTTTTTGCTTTTCTTTAATGCTTACTACCTGCGTCCCAAAATAAATGTCCACACTGAAAAAGGGCTGCAAGGCGATTGGATTAAGTACAGGGGAAGGGGAAGGGGAAGGGGAAGGGGAAGGGGAAGGGGAAAGATGCACATGGTTTTAAAAATGCGCAATGATGCACTTTTTGATTAACCAAATGACAATTTTCTCGTAATAAAAGAGGAAATAAGAATTTTCTCATCTCATAATTATGGGTAGTATTGGAAAGTAGACCCTTTAGGGGCGTTTGGTTTGACAAAATGGTTTTGACGGACTCGGATATTGTGGAGAGATTTGGATTTGGGATCTTTGGTGTGTTTGGTTTGCAAGTTTTGGAAAGGAAATGAATTGCTTCTTTATAAACAAATTAAAAATAATTATAAAAGTAATTAATTTACTTTTTTATTAATTGATTATTACAAAACAAATGTTTTTAACAAAATTTAGAACATTATTACATGCAAATCTTAAGAAATCTTGTGAAATACCAACCATCCACGTCCTATGTTTGTAGCCTCAATGAAATCCCTGGATTTCAAATCCAGGAAATCTTTTCAACACATACACAGGATTGGAATCGAGTTCAATTCAAAATCCCTCCAAATCCAATCCTACATACCAAACAAGACCCTTAATTTTGAAAGCGGACGCTTATTTTTAGGCTGGAGGGAGTATCATATTTTACAGAAATATCGGGATTATTTCTATATGAAGATAGGATCGATAATCACACACAATCACAAAGAAAAGAAAATTTGATATTTACATGGTTCAACAAATCGTCTACATCTACATTTCAACACTTGAAATCTTGTTCTTTTCCCTTCATAATTGCAGTAGTTTTTTCTCTCATTAGAAATCATCGGTTGAAATTATCAAAATTTAAATTTTGTTGCTTGTTTGTTTGTTATCATTAAAGATGATGAGATGTTATGTTGCAGTTGAAGCAGTATAGAACGAAATATCAGCTGATGGTTTTCCAAGGAACCTCAATGCTGTACAAGACTCTGGAGAAGCCTTAAACAAAGAAGGGTTTTAGTCAAGTTTGTGAATTGGCTATCACTATAAACATGCATATTTTTTTTGGGTTTTTAGTGGTTATAGCAGTTCAGATCTATACCAAATACTTCATGTCGATACACAAGCAGGTACATGATTGTTGGCCGGAGACCGGAATTCCTTTTGTTTTGTTGTTGTCCGATTTGAAGGGCGTTTTTGGTGGGAAGGTTTAGATTTTGTTTTGAAATGGTACACAGTTTGAATATAATCTGAAAGCCTTTGTTATATGCCTCTCTTTTCAATTCATTGTTGTCTCCTGTATTTGTATGGTTCAAGTTTTAGATTTTCTGGGTGCATGAGTTGGGGTCTAAATGAGCCGAGTCGAAGGTTATTTCAGTTTGACTTGGAAAAATAATATCACGCTTGAGCTTGAATAACCTTTTCAATGTAGAGCTTGAGCTTGAGCCTGAATATATTTTAAGTGATCAAGCTTGAGCTAGATGCTTGCTTACGGGTTTGAACTCATGATCGATTAAATTTTTATTGGCTCGAGAATATCTATTTGATAAATGGAATATGAATCTATGTGTTGATTGGTCTATTTGTGATTTACGGAGGATAAAGGGTTGTAATATGGGTTACAAGATGCGGTGAGGGCACTTACAGGTTGTTTGATTGATTTTTCATTAAGTCGTGTATGAATAAAACTATTTATATAAATTAATTTGTCTGTATAAATCAAAAAGCTTTTGTTTGGAAGTGTTTTTAGTAGATGGGAAATAAGGTGTTTTTTTAATTAGTAGGAAAACTGTTTTGAAGGTTTCCGACTTGTCTTAAGAATAATTGCATGTCTTTATTTCATTGAAACACTTTTTAAATAATTAAAACGAGCAAAACACTCAACAATCATTAATATGATTACCATAAATTTATATTGAATTATTATTTCATGTTTATTATAAATAATTATAAGATTTAGACAAATTGAAGATACTTCGTAAGTCCGTATATATCACCTATTTAAATCCCTCTTGAAATCATTGGAGATTTTCCTTGAACCCATAAAATTACATGAGTTGGTCTAGACTCTAAAGTAGATATGGTTTAATGTGCCCGGCCCCGGTGGAACCGACTTGAGACAGGCCCGGGCCGGGACTGACTGTTACTGGTTTGGAAACTTTGGTTAAGGACCGATTACACTTCTCATCCAAAAACAAGAACTTTCCCCGGGACCGGTTATAGGCCCAACCTGATTTTTTCAAAAAATGTTACCATTTTTTATAGTCGCTAGGGCGGTAATATAACCGTTGAGAATACCAACTCACAAACATAAAACACGTTCACAATTCTCGCTATAATTCACGATTTTTGTTCGTGTTCGATGTTGGTTTTTAACAAATTATGATAAAATTTATTTTTTTAAGTGTATTTTGATTAAAAATTACATATTTTAAAGCTTGTTAAAATAACAATTTTATATTCTTAAAAAAATTTCAGAAAAAATCCATTGGTAAAATACGGAATTTTTAAAAAATAAAAAGTAAGTCCAATTTGGGCCCCTCCCATTACTGGGGCCGATTTTCATAACCAATTATGCTAAACTTTAACCATGCCTCGTGTTTTTGGTCGAGACCGATTATAAAAAGCTTTTTTAGAATCGAGACCGATTTAGACGTGCGAGTTCCCATTTTCAATGACTCAATGGGTGCGTTTGGTAGGCAAAACAGGGTGGAATAGGATAGGACAGAACATATTTGTCCCATGTTTGGTATGACCTTATGTGGGACTAACTAGAACAAGCTAGAACACGGGTAGGACACGGTAGTCCACCCTTCCCCCCTGGAACTAACTAGAACAATAAACATTTTACCTATCTACCCTCTCAATACCTAATACACAACACACCATTCTCCTTCATCAATCGACCCTTCTCCTTAATCAATCGGCCCTCTTCTTCATCAATCGGCGACAGAATAACTCGACAGCACGAATCACCGCCTCCTCTATCGCTTCCACCGTCTCCTTCATCAATCACCACCTCTCCTTCATCAATCGTTTAGAAGAACTCGACAGCACCCTTTCTCCTTTCTCCATACTCTCAGGTAATCGACCTTCTCGATTTTGCATAACTCGATTTAGAAGAACTCGACAACACCTAATTCATGTTTGTTTGTTGTTTCTGATTCATGTTTCTACTCGATTTGCATTTTGTTTGCTGTTTCTGATTCATGTTTGCTGTTTGGCCCTTTACTTTTTGGTACTTATGCTGCCCTCGTTTGATACCACTTAGCTGTTGTAGCTTCTTTTTTGGGGTGAATGCATGTTCTAGCTTAACTATGACTATTGATGCAATTGTCTTTTTCTATTCCTGGGTTTATCAACAAAAAGATCAAATCTTTATTGACTATTGATTCTACTGTTACCACAATGCATTTCTTAGGCATGCCTTTAGGCCATACTTGACTATTGATCCCACTGTTTTAACTATTCCACTATCAAAATGCATTTCTTTAACTAATGTTGAATTTTAAAATGTGTGTTAGGATTGATAATGGGTGTTTTAGGACCGGCACATATGAGTTTTTAATGCAATTTTGGAATTTTTCTTGGTATCTTTAAATAGTATTTGTAAACATTTATATTGATTATTTAGTGAAAAAACACTAAACAGCTCACTGGAGGTAAATTGGTCATTTTAAACAGTTCTGTCTTGTCTTGTCATGTTTTATCAAACGCTGAACAGCTGTCATGTCCTATCTGCGTACCAAACGCACCCAATATGACACCACACACGCCGAGAGCGCACAATTGTGTTGATCAGTCAATATCGAATTTAGGCGGGAGAGTTCAAATTTTGAAATTTATAGTTTCATATTAATTATTCCTCTTAGTTTTCTTTTGGTCCTGGCTCCCTTTTACTTTTCCATATTCGCTACGTGCGTCACAACACCTTAACCACTCTCTCTCTCTCTCTCTCTCAAAGGTATCTAGGGTTCTTCCTACATACATCTTCACGATTTGTTATTTAATCCTTTGATTCACTTACACCAGATTACCTGCTGATTCTATTGTGTTACTCTCTGAATTGTCACCAGGAATTTTTCGAATCTGAGAAATCAGAGTGATTATGGGCCAGATCCAGTATTCTGAGAAATACTTTGATGATACCTTCGAGTATAGGTAATTCCTTGCTTTTTCCGTTTAATCTTCAACTCTTTGGTTTCGATTTGAAGTATTATATGTGTTTCGTACTTATAATTTTCAGGCATGTGGTTCTTCCACCCGAAGTTGCGAAACTCCTTCCCAAGAATCGTCTTCTTTCTGAGGTATGTAGCTTACTTGTTAGTGTTCTTATGTTGTTTTTCAGCTAAATTTCAATCATGTTTGGAAAAATTGCTCGAATTTTTAATACCAGACTTCCCGTCAAAAGAGGTACCTATGGCTTTTGATGTCAACTTGACCATTTAACTTCCAAATTGATTTGATCTGATGGAATTAGGTGCAAGAAATTGATGCCAGCTTATATGTTGGCTTTGAATTTGAAACAGCATTAATATCGTATAAATGCAGAAGTTATGAAGTTTGACATCCGAACTGAAATTACTCTTAGTTACAGGTTTCATTAAGCGTAAATGCTTCCAGTGCTTGAAAATATATTTCTACTTAGTTCTAAAGTTCAATAAGAGGGCCTATAAGCTCACTTCAGTATGTTCTACTGTAAGTTGTCTAGAGATGCCTGATGATATTATTTCTAGATGCATATATTCATTATATGTCCAAATAAATATTCGGTTTTCTGTTCTTTGTGTATAAATCTAAATGATCTTTGTTTTTCTGCATGAAATAGAGGTTGTTCATGTCATTTGACGACAGTTTTTTCTATAATTAACAGAACTCCCTGTGGTTCATTTTTTCACTTTGAATCCTTGACCCCTAATGGGGCCTTATGAGTCATGATCAATAAAGGAATCAAAACAGCTAAGAGCATGGCATATCATCATCTGGAGTTACAATAAAAGCAATAAAAAATGGCTGTAATCACCCCAGTTGATTTTTCAATGCTCATTTTAAGATAATACAGAAATCTTCAGATGGAAACACTATGTATTTTTGAGAGTCTATGAAAATTCAAGCTAATCTATACATTCAAAATTCTTCGGTAAATAAATTTTGCATGATGAAATTCCAGAATTTACTTGATAAGAATACTGAACAAGGCACAACATAAACTGTTAGGAATCAATGCTAGAATTCATGCAACAACCAGAAGTATTTTTCTGTCTTAACTACTTCAATTAATGCGATATAAAATGGTTATTTATGAAAATTGCTCCTAATTGTGAACTCAAGTCATTTTTGGTGATCGACATGAAGAAATAACAATCTAGCTGTTCTTGTTTTCTATTATCTGCTTTCGTATCCTGTCTCAACTCAATACACACCTGGAACTTAGGTTTTCCATGCAGAACTTGTTGAAGCTTGAACTTAAAAATATATTTGCTCGTTTGTGAAGGACTTATAAAAGCTTCTGTTTCAAGAGAGCATTTTGATCTATTTTGAAGTTGAAATTGATTTCGTTAAAGCTTTTTTGATACCAAGATGTGGTTTTGTTCTTGTAGAGCGAATGGCGTGCCATAGGAGTCCAACAGAGTCGAGGGTGGGTGCACTATGCGATTCACAAACCAGAGCCACACATCATGCTCTATAGGAGGCCTCTCAACTTTCAGCAGAACCAAGAAAACCAAGCTTAAGCTTTTACCAGACCCTGCTTGTTAAGTGTCGTAACTTGATACCAGATAGATCATATTTATTATGTACCAAAATCTCATTTCTTCTAGAAATGGATGTAAGATGTAAGATATGCTTGAACTTTCTCATACTTTTATAAAGTACTATCTTAAGTAATACTTGTTAGTAATGGTTGATGCATCTCTAAGGATGAAGATTCTGAGGAGAAAATAGTGGTAAAATGGTTGTATCATGATGTTTTATTGCATGGTTATGCACATATCATCTTGCCTTTAAGTTGAACTACTCGATGCTCTCTACATTCAGGAAGCGTTTAAGGGATGCAGTGGAAATCTCATCTTTCCCATGTTCGAATTTAAGTGCTACCAAAACCTGAAGGTTTTGACTTCAGGCCATTCGTGACAACTTTAAGGAAAATAGTTTATATCATATTTTTGTCACTTTGTTACAGTTTAATTAAAATGAATGGAAGGGAGCAAAAGTGTAATGAAGAGACAACTACAATAGTTACTTTTTAATAGTAAGTGACAACAGCAGGGATTAAAAGTGTAATTTATGTAAATATTTCATGTGTTGCATATACTTTTTAATTCTTTTGTACTTATGATATTACATCGTTACTCAAACGTAATAACACATTACAATTATGCTAATTTAAGATAATATAAGACAACTAACAATCCTAAACATCTAAAACCACACTTTTCATCAAGGACAACTTTTTTTTAAATTAACCTGAATATTCAACCTGTTATGCAAACTGACAAATAAAAGCAGGTAGTCGTCCGGAGTTACTGCATTTGAACTTCCAGTCACAAAAGGATTTTTATTTCTCTTTGGATTTGAACCTAGACTTCTAGGTACTTATAATTTTTGGAGCTTAAGTTCAAACCAATTGTGGTTATAAGGATAACTTTTACCACACTATAATACCTTTTACCACACCAAATATGGTAGGCTCATCAACATAAGACAAAGTCAAGTACAATCACATCCTAAGGTCTTGTTTGGTTTGTAGAAATGAAATGGATTTTGTGATATTTAGATTTCAAATCCATTCCAATCCCATGTTTTGTTTGTTGGATTGTCCGGATTTGAAATCTATAATTTAATTGAAATCCTACAAACATAGGATTTTGAAATCCTTAGAGAGTGCTTGAGATTTTATAAGATTTCGTAGGATTGTATGTAATAAGGTTCTAAAAATGTTAAAAACATTTATTTTGTAATGATCGATTAATAAAAATGTAACTTAATTATTTTTTATGAAGTATTTATCAATAACGAAATCCAATTCCAAATCCTACAAACCAAACATATCAATGATTTCAAATCTATTCAAATCCAAATCCAAATCCCTCCATGAAATTCAAATCTCTCAAAAACGATCTTGCAAACCAAACGCATCCTAATAAAAAACCTTTGACGCGACGTAAGTCGTAGGATTTGCATGACACATCGTCCACACACAACCGGATCTCTTCACATGTATTATCACATGTGATAAAGATGTTCTCGGAAAGTGTTCTCATTTGTACCTCCATCGTTCTTACACTCAAGAGCTTCAATCAAACACGTTATTATATATATGTTTATAACCATTTAAACATGAGACAAAAACCCACCTTCCAAATCTCATTGACTCTTAATCAAAGAAGTACTCTTATTATAATCAACAACTGGGGTATGCCCTAAGAACAAACCAACATGACCCATGAGCTTATCTTTCCTCGAAAACGTTGTGCCACAAGAACATCGCCATTTCACATCCCCACAATGCTTCTCATGCGTCCGTAAATCCGAAACCACCGAAAACTGCTTTCCGTTGCACCGTTTACATGCGTACAGCTTCGGACAATGGCTCCGTTTGTAGTGATTCTTCATGCAAATCATCGACTTCAACGGCTGGAACTTTGGATGCTTACGGTTCCATCGACACCCTTCTTGCGGACACGAATACTTTCTCATTGATGTCGTACTACAACCGTTTATCACAACGGGTTTCACGAGAGCTGCTGTCGACTTGTACTCGTCTCCGTGGGCTCGCATATGCATCCTCAAATTCGCATCTCGTTTGAACCCTTTCCCACATACTTGGCAATAATGTGTGTATTTCGCTAGTAATTCGGCTGCCTCCATTTCTACGATATCGTAGTTCTTTTGCCACAAGATTTCTTTCTGTTTCTTCTTCTGATCTAAACCAGTAACGTCGTCGTTTCTTGTTGAACACTTTGCATTACCAAGTATACTATTCTGATCAACACCACCGGCAGACCACTGATCAAATATGGGGTTGGATTGAGTCAATTGATCGAACCCAATGATCATATCGTTATGGGTGTTGTTGACGTTATTAATCTGGTTATTAGCATCATTTTGACTAATGTTTTGGCAAGTGGAGATGACGTTAAAGACGATGGAAATGATCTCTTGGAGCAAACCCGCGACGTTCTCCATGTTTTCCGGCGAGTTGGAGGTGGAATGATCAGAAGAAGCCATGGATGATGGGGTTTGTGCGAAGAAGATGGTGGCGCGAGATTGAAGTTGTTGGGTTTTGTCTAGAAGAAGCGATAGGTTGAAGATGAGGGAATCGTTGATGGTGGATTGGTGGTGATCAAAGGTGTTTGAGAAGCAGAAGGCAGCCATTAATGGAGATCGAAGATTGGTGGTTTAATGGAGGTTTGGAGGTGGTGGTTTATATAAATTAACCGTCAAATGAATGGAAAAGAGAAAGTCAACGGTTAAAACCATCACTGCTTGCCACCTTCCTCAGGTAACCCTAGCAAACCACACTCGTCATTTATTTATTATTTATTTATTTTTATTTTGTTTAGAGGGTGACTTGGATTTTGTCAATGTATATATCTAAACCGGAAATAAATTCAAGATTAAATTACGATTTTAGTTTCACTACTTAAAAAAAAAAAATACGGGTATCAACGATGGATTTTTTTTACCGGAAATTCCATTGAAAAATCAGTGACGGATTAAATCGACGGGTTCCAAAAAAATCAATGAAAGTTAACTTTTGTTGACTTTCGCCACAAATCCTGACGAATTTGTGACGGATATTTTATTTATTTATTATTTTAAAGAACCGTCACAAAGTTGGTCTAATTTTTTTTAAATAAACTAATTATTGTTAATTAATTATAGTTTGTAATTTAATTTATCCTTATGAATTAGTAATTTATTATTATTTTCATCATTAAACTAATCTTATAAATCATAAGGACGACAATAAATTATAAATCATAAGAAAAAAAATAACAATAAATTACAATTTATAATGATAAAAATCACAATTTTTAAACCAAAAAATGAAAATCAAACCGCAAGGGTGGTGCCTGATTGGTTTGAGCTTGGCTCCAAAGGTCAAAAGAACCAGGAGGTCCCATGTTCAAATTCAAGGAGGAATAAAAATCCTCTTGTAGCCACGGAGGTTCAAATGCGGTGACTCCGGGCTATCTACAAAACAGGTGGTCGTTCTGAGTTTAGTCGGCTCGCATAACGAGTTGGATATACAAGTTAATAAAAAAAATGAAAATCATAATCTTTAACCAATCAAAAGGAAAATAAACATAATTTACTCCAGAATCAATTAAAATTAAAATATTAAATAGTTTAATATTAAAATTAAAATTAAAATTAAATTTAAATAATTTTTATTTGTTAGTTAGCTATATATAGGTATACTACACGTATATAATAGTGAGGTCTTTTTTGTCTTTTGCTCATAGTTTATTAAGTATGTTTATTTTGTATTCCTTCTGTCGTTACGTAACTGTAACTGTAACTCCTTTATTTTCAACATGAAAACGTTTATATATTATTTAAAAAACCATGCATCCAATTACATAATCTCCAAGTCAAACCAATACATAAATCATTACTAGAATGAAGAATATCAGCAACGGAAAAAATCCTTCGTTGATCAGCAAGAGATCAACGAGAGACTGACCAAAAATCAGTTATCTCGTTGATCCGTCGCTGATAGCATTACCTACGAGCTTTTGACCGACTGATGATCAACGACGGAGAAGAGGCCTTCAGTGACGGATCAACGAGAGAATTTTCTCTCGCTGATACTCTTCATTTTTGTAGTGAAATCATATAGCAAAAGTCTTGCATATAATACCGATGCATAATAAAAGTACTCTATGTATTAGTTCATAATATACCAAACCGAATAAGTAAACTAATATTCCAATACATAGTCCAAAAATACAAATAACCCGATATCCCAATCAGGGCTGGACGCAGATTTTTTTTAAGTAGCAACATAATTTAACTGTAAAAATATCAGTTTTTTTTCATAGATCTATTAGTTAGTTTTTTGTTCTTCCATAAAAGAGATCAATGTTCGAGTCCACATTTCTTCAGTTGGAAAAACTATACGATCGCACCCAACACGACAATACTACGACACCCTTCGTAAACATAACTAAGCAATTTAAAATTGGTACGGGGAAACATATCAAAGCATCACCATGTAATTATACAATCGGGCTTCATATAATTCAAATAAATTGAAGTTATACTTTTGACGCTCTATTGTAATTGTAGTTGATTCAATAGACGTATGACTCTTTTATTTTTCAACTATTTTTACAAATATGCCCGTATTATTTTATAAATCGGTTTATCTATTTTTCTAATAACAGATTACTTACAACACGACATTAAAATCAATTAGAGGTGACAAAATTAGGCTAAAATTAATCATTTGTAGGTTTGAGATGAGCACAAGCTATTTTTCTTGACTAACAAGTTTAATATAATATAATATAACAAACTCAAAATCTTTTTTATCCGTTTGAAATCTTGTTTATATCTGTCTTATAAATGAGCGGTGCTTGCCCAGAACTAACGGGCCTTTTTTTTTTATAAAGAAAACATAATTTGTATAAAATCACAAGTTATACAAATTAATTTAAAATACATAACTATTTTCCAACTTAAAATTAGACGTAAATACATAACAATGTACATAATTTAGAAAAAAAAAATATTCTGAAAAATACGGACTATCGATATAAGAAATGACCAAATGAGATAATAAGGAATTGATTGGTTGAGTTAATTATGTTTTTACGTTTTAGTTTATAGTGTTATTATCTTGAGTCATGATTAAGTGAGAATTGATAATTATCAAGAATTTACAATTTTATTTATAAATTTTAATTATAAAAGTAATTATTAAAGAATATTAACGAGTTGGGCGGGTTTGCCCAAGTTTTTTTCCCCATAACTTACGCTCGTCGGATTAATATTAACAAGTTAGTACATACCCGTCCATTTCTTCGAGAATGGTAGTCCAAGTCCGTTTTTTAACAGACCAGACTGGATGAATCGAGCAAACCATCCCGCCGGTAAACAACTTTAAATTAGACTATTTGGATAACATATCGAAATCGGTATATTTCTAAAACACATCATACAATTTTTTTGATACTCATGTATAATTAATACATTGAAATAATTATAAAAACTAGAGTAAATTACGTTTTCCATCTCGTGGTTTATTAATCATTACGAGTTTCGTTTATGTGGTATTCGTTCCTATAGTTTATACTTAATTATTATTTTCATCTTTATGATTTATAATTTATTGTTATTTTAGTCCCTATGGTTTAGTCCCTTGTAACTAAGGGTAGGAATTAACCCATAAGCGATTACGATTTCTAAACCATAAGGATGAAGATCACAATTATTAACAAATCACATGAACAAAAATTGTAATTTACTCCGAAAACTATTACTATAATAATAATTCAAATTCTTAATAAGACAATCTAAAATGCTGTAAACACTTGACTATGTGAGTTCTTAGGGGCTGTTTGCCAATTGCAGAATGGTTTGATGTTAAATAATTAAGTGTTCAGAATGATTAAGAGACTCTCATGATATAGTGCAAAATGAAATGTAATTGTTTAAAATGAAATTAGGGTGCTGAATGGTTAAGGGAGACACATTATACATTCAGAGAGTTTTAGAACCATTAAGAAATGGATTTTTTTCTTGTCAAACAAGATTCAACTCTTAAGATGCTGTCTTTTAATGAAATTATTAAAAAGTAAACAAACAACCTCTTAGAGGACTTTTAAATAGTGGTTATAGTTTGACAAAGAGTTGATTACTGACAACTCCAACCGGCCTCACACGGAACCCATATCCAAAAACATCAATGTTAGGGGCATTTCTCAGCGGCTAAGACCAGTGGCCAGGGTACGGGTGGAATCGGACCCGATATCTGTCATGTATTTATAATAAGTCTCTTATTTTTATCAACTGAGTTACACGACAGAGGTTTGATGGCGATTATAATTCAGTAATTCACACAATAATCCGAAACTTATATTGTATTTATTGTATGTGAAGGGGTATAGAATGCAATCGAAGCTATTCTCGAGGGGGTATTGGTGAACTTTATAAATTGAGAAAGTAGATATAGCAAAATTCACTGTCGACGACCCGAGCCTTCCCTTCAGATATCGTAACCAAACCCACTCCGGATAAGATAAATTCAGAGATTGTCAATGGCTTCTCCGGCAGCAAGTCTGTCATGGAATTCATCCTCATGGCTTAGTAACCGCACCCTAACAAGAAACATCAACCACAGCGCCCCAATTTCCGATAGAAGTTCCGTTTTTGTAATTTTGGCTCAAAAGAAAGCCAAGAAAACACGAAAGGTACAACCAAATTGTGCACATTTCGATCCTACTTAGCCTTATTATTAATCGGTTTTCTTGTTCTTGGATTACAGATAATATTGACGGAGGATGTTATTGATGTGGGGAAGAAAGGGCAGCTTTTGGATGTCAAAGCTGGATTTTTCAGGAACTTTCTGCATCCTGCCGGCAAGGCCCAGATTGTTACTCCCGTCCTTATCAAGTAATGTGTTAATTCGATTGATTTTGATGAGTTTTTATTAGTATTTAATCAAGTAAATTCAAGCAAAATTCTGCTGGTTCTAGAGTTTTATGGGCCAATGTTAATCATCCTGTATGAAGTCTGCCAACTGTTTGTGAAAATGACAAGCGAATGTTAGTAAGGCCCGTCTCAGTTTTGTGGTTTTGAATCTTTTGACGAAAAGAATGTTGGGATTTGTTTATGAGTTTTGAATTTGATGATATTTGATTGAAAGAATAGGTCAAGTTCCCCTAAAGAACTAATGGTTCCAGGTTCAAGATGAATATGATGAATAATGAAAATGCATGTGATTCATGATGAATAGTATTCATGAATATTTTAGGGTTATTCATTTTGAATAATTCATGAAATAGTTGGTTCCAAGTTTCTCAAAACATTTACAATTCTTATTTGAACCTATTCGAAGCACTAGCCACTATGCAATGTGATTGCATCCTTGTTATTTTCTTGGGTTGATTCATGGGTGGATAGCCAGGAAAGCAGCCTACTTTTGAAGGTAACAGTTATGGAAACACATAGATGATAATAAAGAAAGCTTTGCATCAAGTTTTTTGGACCTAGAAAAGATCATCCATCGAGTGTCAAGAGAAATATTTCAGGGATTTATAAATAACAATGGCATGATGTTAGTGTTTTCTTACACTATCCATAAGACAGAAAATCGAGTTATGATGATAATTTGTGCTCCTATATACAGGGTGCAGTGCCACCCACATAATTCCATTATACATTAATATCATTGGACTTTTTGTAGTTTACAATGTCGAGAATATAATTTTTTTCCTTTCTAACACATGAAATAGTTAATCTTTTCTTCATTATTTTCTTTTGCTCTTTGTCCAGGGAAATGAAGGTCGAAGAGGAGAGAATTGAGGCCGAAAAACAACGGGTATTAAGGGGCCACTTTGATTTGATACCCTTCCTTTTCATTGGAAAGCTGAATCATAGAAAAAACACTGCAAAGATAGACCAAATGTTCATAAACATATAGAATTCTTGATCATGTTTGAGCCTTCATAACAATCTTATCTTTTTAGTTATCTTGGCTTCAACAATTTCATTTTGTTTGTTAGGTAAAAGAAGAGGCTCTGCAACTTGCTCGAATTTTCGAAACCGTTGGAGCATTCAAGGTGAAACGTAAAGGAGGGAAAGGAAAGCAAATTTTTGGAAGGTGTGCACACTTATACGGAACTCGACGAATAATTTGTTTATCCACATAATCTTTTTGAACTTGCTACTAATGCATCTTATCGCATCCAGTGTTACCGCACAAGATCTTGTTGACATAATCAAGGCACAACTTCAGCGGTAATCTATTTTGTTTATGGTGAACGGTTTATTATACCTTTTGTTACCAAGTGACATTTTCAAACTGTTTTCTTATAAACTTTTCTAGCTTACTTTTGCAAGTACCATTTATGCTTCTCCCATTAGAATCAAGTTTGAAGTAATGTAATTAATTGGAGAAATGTTATATAAGCATGTATGGATTCAAACATGTTAATTATATCACTTACACAAAAAGCCTTTAGCCCGGGTTTCCTCTATGAGGTTGGTTTTGGAACTTTTTTGGGACGACCCGTAAAATTTGTAACATTTCCTTTTCTGGAAAGTTTTCATTTAGGATTATGGGTTTGTGTATCTGGGTGATTAGAAATGAGTTCTGGCATTGATTTGGGTCCATAAGCTTCATCTCTATATCTTTATTCAAGGGTATTTTAGATATTTGAGACAGTGCAGAAATTTTCGTAGGATAAACCAAACCAAACATATCCAGTATATCCTATCTGTAGGTAGGGCCTTTGGGGAGGCGTCAGATGTATGCAAACATCACCTCTGTCCACGAGACAAATATATTGTTTCCAAGAAGACCCCGACTTGCATAAAAGAAAACGAAACATATCTAGAAAGCAAAATGAAGGCCTTCTAACCATGAAGAACCCAAATACATAGCGAAGAACTTTTATTTCTTTTTATATCAATGATACTTTTATTGAAAATTGAATCATAATTTCTATGCTTTTGACTTCTTGAATGATTTGGTTATTTTAAAATCTTATTCTACGACTGTTTCTATTCTTTTTCCTGTAGGGATATCGATAAAAGAATTGTTTCTCTACCAGAGATCCGAGAAACCGGAGAATATATTGCAGAGTTGAAGCTTCATCCTGAAGTTAGTGCCGAAGTAAGGTTGAATGTATTTGCAAACTAGCGAATGGAACATACCCGATCAACTTCTTTAAAGAGGGTCTATGTTAAGGTATGCGAACTAATCTTTTCATTCTTTTTTCAAAATCCCTTCATCCCAAAAAAACTGTCCAGATTCTATTTTAGTTTATCTCAAAATAAGTACACACTTACCAATTCTACACTTAATGTGATATGGAGAAGTTCATACTCCCTTATTAAAGGTAAAATCGTCATTTAGTCAACTAAACAAATGAAGGGTAAAATTGTCATTTAGTCAACAAAATAAATGCAATGATTATACGTTTCTAAAACTGGGTGTTCTTTTCATTCTGGACATTTATTTTGAGACGGTGGAAGTTATTTTATTTGATAGACTTTCGTTTTCGACGTGATCCCTAGGTGGGAAGGCACCTTAGGTTTGTTGGCCAGTCCGTCTGTTTGTTATTCTATTTAGTTTTGCTAAAAGGCGAACACATTGTTAGGAACAGTGTCGCTTTGGCCGTGGGTGAACTACTTTGCCTAATTCGTCTTTCGTTAGGTTGATTGAATCTAGCAAAAGAGCTAATTTTTAGCTCAAAATGCCAGAAATAAGAGCATTATTCGTTTTTCGGCAATCTAACCCACCATTTTAAGAGATTCTACCGTGTTTTATACAAATTGAACTATTAAAACCAAACCAAACGAACTCAGTAGATATTACACGAAATAGGCAGTATGATGTACGCAGATCTTACTTCTATTGCTACAACATTGGGTTCATAGACGCCATAATTGTTTTAAGTGTCCCAATAGACTGCTTAATAGGACTTAAGTTTATAGGACCACTCATAAGACGTCTTATGTAAAAGTGATGCAATAGGTTTGTAAGATGTTTTTGGACATCTTAACAAGTTTTTAGGACATTCTGAAAAAGAAGGGTGACTTAACTTTTTAAAATAAAATGTCGTTAGCTATTTACAGGATGGTATTTGAAAAAGTATCTGTAAAAAATGTGTATAAAATAGCTAAAACGACAATTTATTTTAAAAGATATCTAAAAACCTTGTTAACGTCTTATAAACTTATTACAACAATTTTATATAAGACATCTTATCATTTGATCCTATAAACTTAAGTCCTATAAAGCGCTCTATTAGGACGCTCAGACGTTGTTGGCGTCCTAGAAGACCTCGGGATTAATTGTTTTTATTTTTATGTGCAGGATGAAAACTGTGAAAGTAGTTTTAGAATCGCAGATAGCGCTACCCAAGTTCAAGATCCCATTTTCTGCTGTTTTCGTTTATGTGTTCACAAAATTACATTCGTATGTATACACATTCTCGGGACTTATTTATTAATTTTGGCGTTATTCGTTCGTTCTAGTGAAATTTCAAGGAACACTTCTATATCGATCGCTCCTTTTCAAGCCGTGTGACTTGGCGACATCGAGGAAACAAGATGTCTGGTTTTGCATTATTTGACTAAGGTTTTGTCGATGGATCATAGATTGACTAGTTTAACGATCTTTTTTTGTGTTCGGTTTAGGTATTTGTTCACGAGTATAGATTTTATATACAAGCGTTACCGTTTTGAATAAATTATATTTCACATTTTTTTTCCTGGAAAAACGTATAGAATAGTAGAAACCGGTTACCATGTTGATGTGACGAGTATATGGTATCCAACTCAGTATTATTTGTTACCGGTCAATGCTTCAACCTCTTACCCAAGTACTTAAATGTTTAAAACCTTACATCTTAGGTATTAAAATGAAAGTTTTGAAAGTACGTTACCCAAAATAAGAATCAAGTTAAAGTACGTTACTTTTTTCATGCAATTTGTCCAATTAAAAACATATTTAAGTTAATTATGAATTTATAACGTATATGATTTTTGGTGCCGAAAAGAGTGATTCATGCTTTAAGAGATGATGCACAAGAGAGGCCGTTGCTTTTTATAGCAAAAATGTCTTTTTATGTGTAAATTATATAAGACGTATATAATTTAGAGGATTCAAACTTCAAAATTTGTGAGATCTGTGAAAAGTTTTATCTTAAAGTTTTGTTATACATGATTTTTTTATATCTTGAGAGATAGAAGGTTTACTTTGCAAACCACGTTATTTGAACAAACCGTACAAATCTTATTCAACGAATCATAATTTTTCATTTTTTGTAATTATGAGAGGTTGATTAATCATTTTTATTGTGGAGGATGTTAATCATGGATATTATCATATTCATTATATTAATTTTAGAGAAATACATGAAACAATTTCATTAAAATTTCATAAATATTATATGAAACGACTTCAATCATAACCATATATGAAACAACTTTATCAAAAAAAGTATTATATGAAATAATTTCTTTTCCATAAAATTAAACAATGAAATTAAAAGATAATGATGGTTTGCACGGTTTGTACAAATATAAGTGATTTACATTTGACCGCTTATCTCTCTTTATATATAAATGGAAGTTTTTTAGAAATAGAAACTTCCTGAAAGTGCATGAATGTGTTCAACCATAAAGTTGTAGGAAAAATTTATGTACCATGTCATCTTTAACTGATTACGAATATATTTTTGGACTCGTTTTTTCTTTATAATACGACACATATTTAACTCGATAATATATATATATATATATATACTTAAATTACTGATTTTCACACATCGTGAAGCATTTATTGTGACATACAAAAAATGAGGAACAAGATTTATCATATTTTTATTTAATATCAGTATAAGATGAATCTTTAACATTTTATTTATCTGACTGATGAATATAATATTATTAAACAAGTATATATGAAAACTATCAATTTATATTGAATATAATAATTGTCAAATAAATTCAAATAAACTCGGTATATATGACATATAAATAAGATAGCTAACCAAAAAAAATGGATCGGGCTTCACCATTTAAGGTTCAAAGTCACAAGAAACGACAACGATCAGTCGAAAAAGGCTACAAAAGGACACCTAGACGTAGTGTCCTATACACGAAACTGCTTCATATGACTAAATTGTGAAGAGGGTTTCGGTAACGAAAAGAAACTAACGTTTAAAATAAAACTTACATATAAAAGATAAACATAAACGATACAAGACTTTTTAACATTTGTCGATTACAGATGCATTTTAAAAAACAGATTTTGTATATTTTATTCGACGGTTAGCTAGGTTCACGTGAGAACAGTTTTTTTTTAATGAAAACGATGAGAACATGAACATGAACCTTCATGTACCTACTTGTATCATCGTGTCTGAATTTTGACAAATTTATACGTATAAAAGTGATTGAAGCTATGTGAAATCGATGTATTCCTGTAAACCTTCGAATAAAGATGGATGAAGGTTGACGTATTTTGAAGTAGTCAGATCAGAAAAAAACAACTCATCCAAAATATTATAAATGCCTTCACTATGTAACTTTCTCTTTTTTATTTTTCATATATATGTGGAAAAGATCTGGAGAATCTTTAGAAAAATCAAAGAATCACGATATATATATATATATATATATATATATATATATATATATATGAGCGATCAAATGTAAACCACTCAATTTGTATAAACTATGCAAACCACAATCATTCATTGATTTCATTGTTTAATCTTATGAAAAAATTTCATGAAGTTGTTTCATATAATATTTTTTTGATGAAGTTGTTTCATATATGGTTACAAAATTGCTTCATATAATACTTAACAAAATTTTAATGAAACTGTTTCATGTATTTCTCTAAAATTAAAATAATGAAGATGATAATATTCATGATTAACACCCTCCATAATAAAAATGATTAATCAACATCTCATAATTACAAAAAAAATGAACAAAATAAAAAATTATGATTGGTTGAAT